CCTTCCCCCCTGGAAACCATAAGTTTGCTCTCTAAGTCTGTGAGTCTGTTTCTGTTTTGTAAATAAGCTCATTTGTATCATTTTCTTTTTAAGGTTCCGTGTATAAGCGAGAAGATACGATATTTCTCTTTCTCTGTCTGACTTACTTCACTTAGTATGACAATGTCTAGGTCTATCCCGGTCAATTAATCTACGACAAAGGAGGCAAAACTATACGATGGAGGAAAGACAGCCTCTTCAATAAACGGTGCTGGGAAAATTGGACAGCTACATGTAAAAAAAAATGAAATTAGAACATTCTTTAACACCATACACAATTAAAAAAACCTCAAAATGGATTAAAGACCTAAGTGTGAGACTGGACAGTATAAAACTCTTAGAGGAAAACATAGGCAGAATACTGTCTGACATAATAAATCACAGCAATATCTTTTTTGATCCGTCTCCCAGAATAATGGAAATAAAAACAAAAATGAACAAATGGGACTTAATTAAACTCAAAAGCTTTTGTACAGCAAAGGCAACCATAAACAAAACAAAAAGACAACCCACAGAATGGGAGAAACTATTTTCAAATGATGTGACTGACAAGGGATTAGTCTCCAAAATTTATAAACAACTCATGCAGCTTAATATCAAAACAAACAACCCACAAAATGGGCAGAAGACGTAAATAGACATTTCTCCAAAGAAGACATACAGGTGGCTAAGAGGCACGTGAAAAGATGCCCATTCTTTTTAAAAATTTTATTTTATTGAAGTATGATTGATTTATGATGTTGTGTTAATTTCTTTGATACAGCAAGTGATTCGTGTGTGTGTGTGTGTGTGTGTGTGTGTGTGTGTGTAGGACCTTGTTTTTTATCCGTTCTGTATGTAATAGTTGGCATCTGCTAATCCCAAACTTCCAATCTTTCCCTCCCCCTGCCCCCTGCAGCCACAAGTCTGTTCTCTATGTCTGTGCATCTGTTTCCGTTTCATGGATAAGTTCATTTGTGTTGTATTTTAGATTTCAGATATAAGTATAGCATATGGTATTTCTCTTTCTGACTTACTTCACTTAGTATGATAATCTCTAGGTCCATCCATGTTGCTGCAAATGGCATTATTTCATTCTTTTTTATGGCTGAGTAGTATTCCATTGTATATATGTACCACATCTTCTTTATCTATGGCTGTTCTTCCTTTTTTTCTTTTATTTATACTTAAATAGAAATTCTGCTTCAAATAGTGTGCACTTATATAAGATTTACAAATATGCATGAAAGTTTTGAAGGTTATATATAAAAATAAGAGTATCTCTGGTTGGTAGAATTCCCTTCTTTTTCTGCATGTGAGGAATTTCTCTGTACAGTTCACAGAGAACAGTTGTCAAGAGCTCAGATTCTGGGACTTCCCTGGTGGTGCAGTGGTTAAGAATCCGCCTGCCAGTGCAGGGGACGCAGGTTCGAGCCCTGGTCCAGGAAGATCCCCCATGCCGCGGAACAACTAAGCCCGTGCACCACAACTACTGAGCCCACGTGCCACAATTACTGAGGCCTGCGTGCCTAGAGCCCGCGCTTCACGACAAGAGAAGCCACAACAATGAGAAGCCCACTCTTTGCAACTAGAGAAAGCCCGCGCGCAGCAACAAAGACCCAATGCAGCCAAAATTAATTAATTAAAAAAAGAAAAAAAAAAGCTCAGATTCTGGAGTTGTACAGACCTAAGCTAATATTCTAGCTCTGCTGCTTACTGACTGTGTGTCTTTGGGCAAGTTACTTAGCCTCTCTGGGCTTTCATTTCTCCTCTGTAATATGTGGGTAAGAGTTGGACTTAACAGGTGGGAGGGAAGATTCAGTGAGCTAATACACAGGAAGCATCTCAGCACATAGGCTGGTACATAGTAAGTGCTTAGGAAATGTCAGAATCATTAATGTCATATATTTTTTAATGAATGTATATTATTATGTAATAAAGAAATAGCCAACGTTGAGTAAAATTATTACTCTCCTCAGTCAAACTAGAATTTGAGGACCTCGTTGGAGCAAAAGACTGTCTTTGCCTGTCTGCCTCGTGTAAGATTGCCCAGCAATGGTGTGTTCAACCGGCCAGAATGGCCATCATTAAAGTCTACAAATGCTGGAGGGGGTGTGGAGAAAAGGGAACCCTCCTACACTGTTAGTGGGAATGTAAATTGGTGCAGCCACTATGGAAAACAGTATGGAGGTTCCTCAAAAAACTAAAAATAGAGGTGCCATATGATCCAGCAATCCCACTCCTGGGCATATATCCAGACAAAACTATAATTCAAAAAGATACATGCACCCCTATGTTCACAGCAGCACTATTCATAATAGCCAAGATATGGAAACAACCTAAATGTCCATCAACAGACGAATGGATAAAGAAGATGTGATATATATTTATATATACAGTGGAATACTACTCGGCCATAAAATAGAATGAAATAATACCATGTGTAGCAACATGGATGGACCTAGAGATTATCATACTAAGTGAAGTAAGTCAGAAAGAGAAAGACAAATACCATATGATATCACTTTTATGTGGATCTAAAATATGACACAAATGAACATATCTACGAAACAGAAACAGACTCACAGACATAGAGAACAGACCTGTCATTGCCAAAGGGGAGGGGGGATGAGAGAGGGAAGGACTGGGAGTTTGGGATTAGCAGATGCAAACTAGTATATATAGGATGGATAAACAAGAAGGACCTACTGTATAGCCCAGGGAATTCAATATCCTGTGATAAACCATAATGGAAAAGAATATATATATGCATAACTGAATCACTTTGCTGTAAAGTAGAAATTAACACAACATTGTAAATCAACTATGCTTCAATAAAATTTTAAAAAAGAAAAAAAAAAAAAAGAATTGTACGTTCAGATCAGCGGGGCCAGCTCCTGTTTGCTGAGCCTTTGCTCTAACCCGAGCGAGGTGTTTCCTTCCCTGTGTTTACTGGATTCTCACAATGATGGTTCTCAGCTAAGAGAAATGCGGCATTTTACAGATGGGGAAACTGAGGCTTGGGACAGTGAAGAAAGCTCTGAGAAGCCGCACAACTGGTGGAGGGTGGAGCCAGGATTCCAGTCAGCTCTGCCTGAGGTCAAAGGTGAGGGTTTGGCTGAATTAGTCACTGCAGAGTTCAGGAGGAAGCCAGTGGAGAAGGCTTGGTAAAGGCCAGAGCCAGTGGAAGGGGCCGTTGGATGCGGGAATAAATACAGAGCAAAGCGGCAGGGCCCTCCAGGCGGTGATTCTGAAAGTATACAGCAGAGGAGCTGGTGTCCAGACCCTTCCTTGGTGATGGTGGATGAATGCCATGTGTGGATAATTCCATGTGCTTCCTTTTCTAAGAAGGACTAGGTCTGTTGACGAGTTGCCAAGTATGGGAATTTTTCTTAGGGTGACTGGAATTTAGAATCTTTGAACTAAAAATAGTCCATTACTAGAGTTCACCAAGGACTCAAATGAAATATTTCCTGAAGAAATCCGACGTTCACATCATCTTGCAAAACCCGCACTGTGCACATGTCCACATGGCAAGTTGGAATTCTGGCCGTGTTCTCAGTGCACTGGTAGCCTTGTCTTATGTTAGCTGTGGCTTTCAATGACTGCTCTTGAATAAAAAACTATTTATTAGGGAAAATTTCAAGTATATACAAAGTAAGCAGAATAGTATAATGAATCCCTATATCCCCCTCACCCAGCATCACCAAATATTCAAAAAAATCTGCCATTCTTGTTTCATCTGTATCTCCTCCCACCCTCCACTCTCCCACTCAACGATGATCATTTTTTGACGTTTCTTTTTTTGTGAGGTAAAATTAACATACACTGAAATGGGCAGATCTTCGCTTTACACTTTTGACAAACGGATACACGTGCGGAACCCACATTCCCATCACAATATAGAGCGTTTCTGCCTTCCCAGACAGTTCCTTGGATCTCCCTATCCCACAGACAACCTCCGTTCTGATTTTTTTCACCTTTGATTAATTCTGCCAGTTCCAGAGCTTTCTGTAAATGGAACCGTAGAGTAGGCACTCTTCTGTGTCTGGCTTCTTTCGTGCAGGATTATGTCTGTGAGATTCATCCATCTGGTTGCCTGTATTGGTAGCTCGTTCCGTTTTCTGGCTGAGCGGTATTTGATTATATGAATGTACCCCAGTTTGTTTATTCATTCACCAGCTGATGGACATCTGGCTTGTTTCGAGTTCTGGGCTATTGTGAAAACAGCTGCTATGAACATTTGAGTACAAGTCTTGGCGTGGACGTCTGTTTTCATTTGTCTTGGGTAAATACCTAGGAGTGGAAAGACTGGATCCTATGGTAGGTGCACGTTTAACTTTGTAGAAACTTCCATTTGTTTTCCAAAGCGGTTGAACCATTTTTGCATTCCCACCGGCAGTGCGTGAAAGTTTCAGTTGCTTCATATCCTTGCCAACATTTGGGATCAGCCCTTGTAATTAATCCTGCTCTTTTCAAGTGAGCTAATATATGGATGGAGTTTCTGGAAGGTTTAGCTTCTGTGGGTCAGTCTGGTGTTGGCCAGTTGCTCTGTGGCCCAAAACTTTATTTGCTCAATTCTCTGTTTTTTTGTCTTCCCAGAATTCCCTTCCCGCTGATGCGGAGCTGGGTGGGCTGGTAGAGGGGAGGTTTCTAGGGGAGTTATAGTCACAGAAGATCGGGAACTGTGGGTCTGGGGGCAGGACTGGAGGTTTGCCCCCTGCTCCATCTCTCTGCTCCCCTGGAGCTCTGGGTCCAGTTTGGAGCGGGCAGAGGGCCAAGTGGCCTGACCTCCCTTCCAGATCTGACCCTGGCAGCCCTGGAAGCTGCTCCCCTACCACCTCCCCATTTGTGGAGGTCTCTGAGGTCCAGGCCTCAGCTCCTCTCCTCTCTGATGGTGGCACATCATGCAGTTGCTGCCCCAGCCCACGGGGGCTATGCTTCTGGGGGTCCAAACTCACCTGGTCCTCTCTTCTCTGCAGATATTGGCCCGGTGACCCTCACGGCCGACCCAGCGGTGTTTCAGAGGGAGCTGAGAGAACTCTACGTGCAGGTAGGCTGCCCCGCCCCTGGCTGCTGGCCCTCTGTGTCCTTCTGCCCAGTCCCTGCCAGAGGCCAAGGTCTTTGCCCCACCTGGGGGCCAAGGTGGTGCTTCCTGCAACTGCTATGACCTGCCTCCCAGCTCTGCCTGGGGCTCCCCCCCAGCTTGGGGGTCCTGCAGATTTTGTATTTTGGGGGGTTCCTTCCTTTATTCAGTGAACCAAGTACCTACAGGAGTCCCTGTGCCTGGCATGTAGAAGGTAGTTATTATTTACTGCATGGATGCAGGCTTGGAATGAGGGGTATGTGGTAGCTGAGGGAGGGTTCGAGTGGGGTCAATTCAGACTCCCAAAACCTGGCCCGAGACTGGGTCAGATGTCCCATGGCCTCCTCGGCTTTTGGGCCACACTGAACACCCTGGTTCAGCATACGTCTCCCGCACCCAGCTTCCTGCAGGCAGGGATCCCACGGATCGGTCTAGCTCACCGCCAAGTCCCCCAGGGCCCAGAACAGGGCCCGGCACACGGAAGGGATGAGTGAACCAAGGAGAGAAGCGTTTACTGAAGTTACCGCGTGCACACCCTGCTTCCGGTGCTGGGTGTGCGAACCTGGGGGGCAGAGAGCTCCTGGCTGGTGGGCGGGGAGGGGAGGGCTGTGTGTTTATGTGGAATCGTCCCAGGGCGGGTCACAGAGAGGACCTGAGGAGGCGGCTTTGAATGTTTTCCTCTGCCCACCCCTCACCTCTCCTTCCCCTGGCGACCCCTCTACCCCTCTATCCTCCAAGCCTTGGCTAACATGTGGCTTCTTTGGCGTATCTGTTAGATGTCCCGGTGGCTCCCATCCCTCCTATCCCACTGGTAGCACTCCTCACAATGGTAACTAAATGCTCGTGTTGTGCTTGTTAATGTAAAGTCTGCCTCCCATCCAGACTCTGTGGGAGGGACCGTGTCGCTCGGGCATGGGTGGAGTGAATGAGTGAATGAAGGAATGAGTGAGTGAATGAGTGAATGAATGAATGAATGAATGAGTGAATGAATGAGAGATGAAGCGGATTGGATGCTACACTGTCTCAGGGAAGGGAGTAGCTGGGGCCCTGGCCTGACCCTGGATGCGCGGGACAGAGGCCACCGGAGGGGACCCCCACCTCCCTGGGTGGTCCCCACTGGCGAGGAGGTGGGCGGCAGTCGCTGACCCGCCCTGTCCTGCAGGGAGGCGGGGACTGCCCAGAGATGAGCATGGGGGCCATTAAGGCTGCCGTGGAGGTCGCCAACCCCGGCTCCTTCATCTACGTTTTCTCGGACGCCCGCGCCAAGGATTACCGCAAGAAGGACGAGGTGCTGCAGCTGCTGCAGCTTAAACAGTCACAGGTGAGCCACCACGAGGGGGTGCTGGGGAAGCTGGGATCTCTGAGGGCCGCTCCAAGCCCCCCCCGCCCCCCCTCCCTCC